TCAAGGACTGTATTGAAATCAGGTTCGGCTGGTTCTGAAAACGTACACAATTCAACGTACACAGAAGCGAAAAATCTCGAAAATAATTCTGCCTTTAATGGATCGGTATCGGCGGCTTCATTTTTGTACTTCAGTATACTTGGTAAGCTTGACCTATGAAAAGCTCTAAAGTATTTAAAAAGTTTTCCCGTTGATTGCGCTGACGTAAGAGGATGTTCATAATCGGTTTTGTCCATTTCGGCGTTCGTTTCTGTCTGTTCAATTAAGTGCAAAACTTTTGAATGAGACTCGGTATGTTTCTTTCGAGCTGTATGTAAACGTTTAATAATATTCGAAGTCGATTGACTTATCCAGGGCGGCAAAGATGATCTATGTTTGGTGCGCTTTGGAATACACTTTTTAGTAAGCGAGGATAACCAGTTATACCAATGATTTAGTATCACATTTACATTTTACCAACAGTAAGTGTCAAAAGGGTTTTCTAGTATTTGCTCATTGAGTGAATCGTATTCACCGTTGCGATAACTAAGTATGGATTCTCTAATAAACATACGGCGCATAAGATCCAATAACTCTAAGTTGAATGAGATTTCGAACGGATAATGGTTAGAAAGTTTCCCAATGTATCGTTACTGTCTAAGGTATGAACATCTGTTACATGAATTTTATTGCTGGTGAAGATCAAATTGAGAGTACCAGTTGAGGCAGTATTAAACTTAACATTTTGATGAAATTCAAGATTCTCTATTTCTTCCAAAAAAGATATTTCGGTTGCTTTGATTGATGACATGTTGCATGTTGCACCAATTTATTAAGGGGTAATTGAAGTCACCATGAATAAACAAATCACAGTTGTTCAGCAATTTATTTATGTCTTTAAACAGGTTATTTATTTCACTTGGTTTCAGAGCATATTTGCTATTTGCAGGCGGTAGCTAACAAGAGACAACAAGCAATTTCCGTTTATCTAGCTTAATTTAGCATGCTACTGCCGCTCCGTTGGTATTAAAACTAAAATTTGCAAGTTCTGACATTAAGCCTGACTTTACGCCAATTAATGTTCCACCGTGAGATGTTGATTGCAGCGAAGATCTTCTGTTTGATAGAACTGCAGTAAATGTCGTTTTCTAAGAATGTGGATTTATTCTTCCGAAACCCATATTGTGAACTATGAAAAATAGGTGATAGATGTTCTGTCAATTATTATACGCTCCCATATTTTTGAAAATATACAAAGAAGGGAGACGGGTCTACAATTTTCAATGTCATTTTTATCGTCTTTTTCATGAATTGGGCTGATTATAGCTGCTTTCCAGTATTCTGGAAAACACCTAGTTTGAATAATTTTGGAAAATATTTGATAGATAGAATGAGATAGAGATGCTTGTGTTTAAATGAAAAGTACAGGCGGTAAATCGTCGAGGCCTTTACTTTTATTCGTAATCAACGATTGACATATTTCACGTAGTTCGAGCTCAGTAAAACTAATTGTATCAAGGACTGTATTGAAATCAGGTTCGGCTGGTTCTGAAAACGTACACAATTCAACGTACACAGAAGCGAAAAATCTCGAAAATAATTCTGCCTTTAATGGATCGGTATCGGCGGCTTCATTTTTGTACTTCAGTATACTTGGTAAAATTGACCTATGAATGTATTAAACTTAACATTTTGATGAAATTCAAGATTCTCTATTTCTTCCAAAAAAGATATTTCGGTTGCTTTGATTGATTACATATTGCACCAATTTATTAAGGGGTAATTGAAGTCACCATGAATAAACAAATCACAGTTGTTCAGCAATTTATTTATGTCTTTAAACAGGTTATTTATTTCACTGGGTTTCAGAGCATATTTGCTATTTGCAGGCGGTAGCTAACAAGAGACAACAAGCAATTTCCGTTTATCTAGCTTAATTTAGCATGCTACTGCCGCTCCGTTGGTATTTAAACTAAAATTTGCAAGTTCTGACATTAAGCCTGACTTTACGCCAATTAATGTTCCACAGTGAGATGTTGATTGCAGCGAAGATCTTCCGTTTGATAGAAAACAGTTGTAATTTCAAAGAATTATCTCGGATTCGCGGATTTCATTTGCAAGCCATGTTTCAGACAGGCAAATAATATCAAAGTTCTTTAATATTATACTGTTCGAAAAAGTTTGTCTTCTTTCTAGTTTGAATAAACTTCTTACATTGTAACATAGTGCTCTTAATTCTCCGGTTTTGTTTGGTAGTCATTCAGTGCAATTTACTGCTTGGTTTTTTAGATATAATATGTTTTTTCTGATTTTTATATCCTTTGCTTCGTTACCGTTTTCGAGTAGTTCGCGTCTTTTCTTTAACAAGTTTCGTTCCCTTTCTTGGTCCTCTTTATCTAAGGATTTTGATAGAAAAACTGAATATTTGTTTCCCTTGATGTTTGGGTGGTAATTTTTCAACATGGTTGAAAGCGCAAATAATCAATCTGCCGTAATAACTTTTCGAAACTTCACCAAAATTTGTCTGGGTCTGTTGTTAGTTGCGTTAAATTTTGCGAGTCTGCGGAAAAAGGAAATTTTCTCTGCATTTGCACCAATAAATTTCATTGTATCTCTTATCATTTTTTCATCGTGCTCAAAAATATTCGATTTATTAGTTTTGCTGTCAGTGCCCATGCTAATTTCCGGCATACCACTAAATCGCAATTCTTGAGATATATCGGAACTAGATGTAACGACACTAGAATACTTAGCTTCCATTTGGGGAGGAGAAGGATTGCACGTAAGGCCGAGATTTTATGATCTCCAGTGACTCATTGATGTCCTCAATGCCTTTTGACAGCTCGCCTCACATCCACCGTAGATTTTGGACGAATATCAGCACTTAGGCACCCATTGCACAGAAACTTTACATTTGCGGTCCTCTCCAGAAATTTGAAGATATCATGAGAGTATCCCATACACGAGCTATGCGTCCACTTTTCGCAGCCCTCGCACATCAGCCAGTTCTCCCCCACTGACTTGGAAAACATGGTGCAACACTCTTGACTTTTAGAGGTCAATCTTGACCTCGTCGTAGCACCAGACATTTAATCTTTCGCAGACTTCGTCAATGAGAACTGCAGTAAATGTCGTTTTCTTTTTTCTTCGAAACTCAAGTATTCACAGCAACAAAGCTTGTTATCAAGTTTTTCTGGGACTACTATCACCGCCACTATAACGAACTAGACTCGTGCTCCTGGACTTTTGGCTGCCTGTGTAGCAACTGCCGTTTCCCGCATTCCATAGACTTTTCTTAATATGTTTACGGGCTCACGCCCTTCAACTTTTGTTGTAAAGCTTCAATACTACTACTACTAAAAGAATTTATTCCCTTTAAAATATAAAGGCATCAAACAAAAGAAATGGTATGATTATGTACACAAGACATCACGAACGGCAATTTATGCAATGGCAACAAAGTAGCATTGAACAAGAGTTGTTTAAGTTGAACATATCAATTCTATTTTTCAGATAGATTTTCAATTTTGCTTTGAAAATTTCAGGCGATGAGAAAATGTCGGCTATGTTGTTTGCTGAAATCATGTTGGCATACCGACAGACGCGATAGAAGAAAAATTGCTCTGTAAAGAAGAGTCGACAATTCTGGGTTGTTGAAAGCTTAGGGCGTGAGCTATTGCGAAGGTCTTTGGCTGCAAAGGTAAAATTTATGTATCTGTAAAGGTTGAAATCAAATTGATCAGTCAGGACTCGATTAAGAAAACACATATCATGTAAAGCTATAGTGAAGGAAATTGGCAAGGAATTCGTTTTTCTAAGTTGTTCTGTATAGTCGTTGACTCCCGTTACCCATTTCAAACATTTTCTGTTAAATAATTCTAGTTTGCGGCGATATGTTAAAGATGGAAACCAGACCTGACTACCGTATAATAAAATACTCACAATACATAGCTGGTAATATTTGAATTTGGTTCTCATGGATACTCCATAAGGGATTGAACGTTTCAAGAAATGGAAAGCTTTGTTAACTGCAACCAGTTTGGTTTTAATGTGGATGTCCCACTTTAAATCACTAGATATCGTTACTCCGAGATCTTTGATAGATGAAACTGACGGAATTGGGTAATCATTAAGGCAAAGTGTAGATTTGGGGGAAGTTGAGTTAAAACAAATAACTTTGCATTTATCAGAATTAAATGTCATTTCGTTTTCAAGCGTCCAATTGATAAATAGATCAATGTCTATTTGAACTAAGGAAAAGTCATATTTTGAATAGAGTTTGCTGTCATCAGCAAACAGAAAACATTTAGAGGTTTTCAAGACAGCTGGCATGTCATTAATGAAGAGTATAAATAGTAAAGGGCCGAGTACACTTCCTTGCGGAACACCACTTGTTACATGGCCTTTTGGAGATGCTTCATTGTTAATTAAGACATTTTGCGTGCGGTTTGTGAGATAGGAAGCAAAAAGTTCAAGAAAGCTAACGTCAAAGCCTAAATTACCAAGTTTCAAAATAAGTATATGATGAGGAACTTGATCAAAAGCCTTGCGAAAATCGAAGTACACAGAAAGACATTCGCTTTTTGCCTCGACGTCGTTATAAATCTGATCTAGGTATTCAAGAAGCTGAGTAACAGTCGATCGCTTGGTCATAAAACCATGTTGAGCAGGTGTAACTTTAGCCCGAATTTTAGGATAAATGAAATCGAAGATCATTCTCTCCAGAACAATCGATAATTGAGGCAATATGCTAATCGGGCGATAATTTTCAACATTTTCGGGATTACTGGATTTAAGAATAATAATAAAGCGGTTCATCGTCCTCGAAATATGTGGGTCTTTTTTGCATTAATATGCGTTCACACAGTTATTTGCATAAATCTATTTAATAAGTTTATCGCAACAATTAAGCTTTCGAGTTTTTCATATGCCGGTAAACGCTGAATAATACATTTTCAGTCCGGCAATTTTTTCTCGGATCTCTAACACCGCTAATGAACGGCAAATACGTGTTTTAGTTGAAATGCTTCACTAATGATAGTTCTACCTGATGTAAATTCTGTTTAACTGAATCTCAATTTCTCTTCACGCTGTGTTAATGTCTGATCAAGATTTTAAGTGTGTGAAGACTATTGTGTGGGGAAGTGAAAATGCTCCCGAGAACTGTCTAAAACAATGGGAGGAGCCATTTATTTTCAGTGAATTGGAAAACAGTGCTCTAGTTCAGCACCATGGTGGACCATGTGCTGTTTTAGCACCCATACAAGCGCAACTTATACAAACGTTATTATTGAAAAATAACAATTTCTCGAGAACTATTAATTCAGCAGCAGATTTGCAAGCACTTATGAGCTCAGGTACAACAAACGTATCCTTGAAATCATGTCTCATTTCTGTTTTGCATCAAGTGTTGTCGCGTTGCACATCATCCGGGCCTTTGAAGATTGTTAATTTCAGTGAAGAAAACTTGTCAGTAGTAACAATAAACAGCGCTGAGAAACTTGATGATGCTGAAACATCATTCGATGTCTTTTTTCAACCCGGAGGGGTTTTAAACTTCGTCTATTCGATCATTTTAACCAGGGAAGCAGAAAATATCAAGGCTGATTTAGGACTGCAGAGTGATCCCTTAATTGAATCAGTCCATGGGCATGGTTCGGTTGCTCTTACCAATTTATGCCTGATAGGTAAAGCTGTTCCGAATATGTTTGATGACAACAAAGATTTAGGTGGTCTTGTGCTGAACGGAATTTCTGAGACACCAGACATCGGCTACTTATCTTTGATGGAGCACTTCAGATATATTGAAGTCGGTCACCGGATGAAAAATCCCAAGTACCCAATATGGTTACTCTCATCTGAGACACACTTGACTGTTTTATGTTCCACTGAAAGAAACTTATGTTCGGCTGGCGAAGAGCTGACGGTGAAACAGGCTTTCGCAAAATTGGACTCATCTGGTAATGGTTTTATACAAGAGGGGGATCTTTCCAGACTCTTAAAAGATCTCCAGTTGCCAGATGACGGCAGTTCACTGGCGGCCGCTAAAAGTGAGTTAGATAGCGAAGATTTAGGAATCATAACACTTGGAGCTATAATGCTCAAGTATTTTCCTCATTTATTACAAGCAAATGATTTCGAAGTCATAACAGACGTCCCATTTATGCAATACAATGGATTAAATTTTAAAACTGAGAGCAATACTGTAAATATATCGCCCTCCAAATCAGACGCAACCTCCATCACGCCGTCTTACAGCTACGGTGTTGGTGTAATAGGCTTGGGATCACAGACTGCAGCTGATTCCACTAAACTGGAACTCATTTTAGCCACCAAGTGGCCAGCTATTCAGATAAACTGGAGTGTCGGTTCAAAGCCTTCGGTTGATTGGATATGAAATTATGTTAATGAATTGATTTTTTGGCTGAATTTCTGATTTTGCTTCAGAATATATTATACCTGCTGCTGATATTTTTTGCAGGCAATAAATAGTTTTAACAAACAAATACAAGAGCTCGGAGAAAAAAGTTCAGCCTTGGTTAAGCGTCATCAGAGCTGCGAATATTTTGAACATTAGCTCCTGATTTTTTTCGTCTGATTTATATTTTGATGATATTCCACCTGAGTCGCTAAATGACTGGAAATATGGTGCAGGGTGATTTTTTTGCCCAATTTTATGGAAGCGAAGACAAATTGTAGGAAGTTAATCGTGAGCTATTTTTTCGTGTGGTCTTATTCGTGATAACAATTCCAAAAAAGAATTTTTCGAGAATATTTTGTCTTTTTATCATCTGAGACAATCTAGCAAAAGACCGATAATTTTGCAAAACCTCAAAGCTCTTTCTATAGTTTTTGGCAAATAAAATTGTAATTTTCTCCTTAAGTTTAAATGAAAGTGAACTACAGCCTAAATTGATATAGTTGGAATATTTTGTAGTGTTATATTTGCATTAACGAAGAGAGGCGCTCTTCGTGGTTGCCAAATAAGGTGCTCTGTGAATTTTCCACATAGTTCTTGTTCGCATTCAAAATAAGGTGCCCTTTGCGTTTTCCTAGTGAGGTGTTCTTTCCAATATTGAATATACAGTTCCGATACTAACATATTTTTGAAAAATTTCGCATTATTTCCCAAGATATTTTTCTGCTCACTTTCTAACATCATTTTTTACAGGTACTGATCGCTTTCCAAGTTCATTTTTATTAAGGATGAAGGTTGGTTGAGAGGAAATTAGATGTTGTTGTTTGTAGCTGCAAACAGGAGGGATCATCCAACTCGTGTTTTCATTATCGTTTATTTCCAGTACTCCTCAAACGAACATTGTGGAGATCGATTTATCGTTTTATCAGGTGCGTGAAATAGTAACTGACTTTTCTAGGTTTCACACTAGCAGGAAGGACCCCTTCTTACAGCATTGAGTGGAACCCGTTCTAGGGGCAGTTTTTGGTAAGGAAAAGCAAGCAGAACTCTCATGCCCGGTTTAAGCGGGCAGTTTTAATTAGTGCGGAAAACCGAGAAAACTCCTAATGTGCCCGTCATGTTGATAAGTTGAGCCGTTTTGCGACTTCAATGGGGCTGTCACACAGGTCGTCAAGATTCAGAGGTGTCGCCTTTGATGGATGTGGCATATGGAGTTGTTCATTTGGAATCGTTTTTGTGCAGCCGGTTACAATTCAAAGTGCTGTGTATTTACGAGTTTGAAGATCTTTCCAACAAAATTCACTTACTGAAGGTATCCAGACAGAACCTGCGTAATTCAGAACACTACGCCCAATTGCCTTGTATGTAATGCTTAGTTTCTTTGCTGCACCCCCAGCTTGTGCCTGAGTTTTTCAGTAATCTTTTGCGTGCTTGGAATTCGTAAATCACCGTGGTAAAGTGTTCAGTGAAGGTTAAGAGGTGATCAAAGGTGACTTCTAAATTTTTAGGTTTTTGAGTTGAGGGGAGTGAGCTATTTTCGATAATCATAGTATATGTTTCTCAAATTTTTTTTGGGTTGTTACGTTAATCGCTAAAGATTCGTCTGCGGATAGTTTTAAATTGCGTATTTGAAGCCAAATATATAGAATACGTAGGAAAAGGCTGTGCATCTAGTTCAAGTTAAGTGGTGTTATGACCCGTGGTGGCGATAGAAAAATTTTTTGCTTGTGGCGATTTTGATGTTCAAAATAACAATATATGCAGATGTTATTTCCATCACCAAGGGTATTGCGATCGGGTACTACTTTTTCTCGTAAATAACTTTGTTTACCAAACTGGAATCTCCTGGAATCATTTATCTACTGGGCCTTTCTGTTGCAAACAAATATTTTGAGCTTTGAGCATCTTAGCGTTTTGAAAATCCGGCCTTTTTGAAGTTTGTTTGTTTTTTAATGTCAATTGTACTTTTACCAACTCGGCTTACTAATTTTTTTCTATGGCTTTTTTTTCGAATTGATAGGTTCCTGCTTTTTTATATCAGTTTGGTAGCGTCATTTGATGAGCGAAAACAGTTTTTGTGTGCGTGTGTGTGTGTTCTGAGAGGAAGGGGGACTTTTTATTGTAGTTTTGAGCTTGGAAAAAATATCGGCTTTAAGTGTTTGTGCTTAGTCTTCAAATTTGTTCGCGCCAAACTTATGCCCTCTTGCGGTTCGACAATTGATTGTTTTTTTTCAAGCTCAATTTAAATTTTTTTGCTAAAAGGAATTTTCAAACTATTTTCTATTTTCCAGTTACGAACGTGAAAATAGCGCAAAAAACTTGAAGGGAAGGTCCAATGCCATATTTTTTTCTGAATTTTGAAAGTTAACTTTTTTCAAAGAACAATTCAATAAATTTTTTTTTCGTTTTGACATTTTGGCAGCTATTTGTTGTTTGTTTGTTTGTGATGATAAACGGTTGACCGGGCATAAGTGCAAATAGAATCAAGTGCAGATTTAAACGCAGAATAAAGAGCAAGCTTTTTTGTTCTGAAGCTTTTTGAAACAGGAATGACAATTGATTAATCATTGATTTCAATTTGCATTTAGCAAGCGTTATCAAATCGGAAAGCAGATTTTTCCAGGCTATTTTTTTTCAACAAAATCATTAATTTTTTGTGCCAACAGACTTATCTGATTTAGAGACGTCATTTTGCTTATGTTACGTTTCAAACTCCTGTTTTTTGTAAACAGTTTTTTCAATTTTTGTAAATGTTGGCTGGAAAGCTACTCTGAATGTAAGTCATTTCTTTTTTTCTATGTGTTTATTTGGTTTTAAGGATTCGGCTAATCTTGTATTGTTTTAGTCGCTGCGTATTGCGTCGTTTGACGGGCGAAAATGTTTTTTTTTTCATTCGTGCGTTTGATGTGAATGTGAAAAATCTAAAGTTTCGAAATTTTTTGTTGGAAAGTCAAAAGTTTGAAAATGTATAATAGAGATTTTTTTCGGGCTCAATTTTCTTTCTAAATTTCTCGCCCTAGTTACCGACTCATAAAGGTAAACTTAATGTCAGTTTTTTGCTTATATTTTTGGTCACTGCATTCTGTGCTACTTGCACAGGATCAGATGCGATCTGTTAGGCGCGTTTAGGAATCATATGGGTTTTTTGTCTATTTTTCATGGAAAATTTCACTGCTTGTGTGTTCCCATTTGTTTTGCTGAATTTTTTTAGTTAAGGTTTTTGCACAAACCTACTTGAAATATGTTGCAGTTGGATGTATTCTGGATGTCTTTCGCTTTGCCTCTGCGTCCCAAATTGTTCAAAGTATCCTTTTCCAAGATCGACTGAAACATCTAAGTTGCATACAAAACTTTGTAAAAGTAGAAAGTTTTGTATTTTCAATTATTCAACAAATGAGCTTTTATTTGCAAAATGGTTGCGCTTAGCAGAGTTTTTATAAATAACTGCTTAAAAACAACTTCGTTTTTGGCCTGCCCTTAAAAAGCCAACAGGAGCCGAAAAAACGACAGCAAAAAAGGCTAACGAAAATTTCCACCGAAAACGTCAACTCCCAAATTCAAAATTTTAGACTAATTATTTTGTAAGAAGAACATATGGTACAATAAATTTGTTTATTAACTATGTAGAATCTTTGACAAAAGGATAGTGACAATTATTTGGAGTTAACTACGTAACAGCTTCTTGGACAGCGTCTTGAGGTGTTGGCTTCTATTTAAGGTCAATTACGTATAATGGTGGCATGCATGTCGGTAACTTTTTGGTTAATTAGATTCTTGAATTTAAGTATTCAAACAACTAGTAAATTGGTTCCGACGTCAAAATGAGTCACTAAAGGTTTGGCATAGCTTATCACAAAACCTCTAAAGTTTCCCAATAATTATCATCTTGTTATTGAGAAAGAATCCGATTTTTTGAAATTGCCTTTTTGAAACAGGATCTATTTGAAACGGTTTTTCTTTTTAGAGATGTCCATTTTTCAGACATTTCAAGGTCACTTTTTCTAGAGATTTCGAATAGCACAATTTTGCTTTGCATTAATCAAAAAACAATATACAACAAGGATAGCCGGTTGCGGTGCAATTAGCACAAAATGTTGCGACCATGATTTTGAAAAAAAACTACAATTAAGTTTTTTTTTCAAAAGCGTTGCATTTTGTTTTTGGTGCGATGATTAAATCTAAACGAAAGACTTGAAATTCAAAAGTAAAAGAAATAGGTACATTTGAGAACAGTTTTTCACATAAATTAAATATAAAAATTTTTTTGTTTGATTGCTTTCTTAACTTTTTAAACTTTTATTCCCAAGAAAGCGCTATAAAATTCCGGGTAACTAATTTCACTTGGGTAACTGAGAAATAGTAAATTGTAAAAATTTTAAACCATTAGAAGCCTATTATAAGATTTAATCGCTCGAAGTTAAACGAAAAATTCAAACCGGTTTTTCTTAACACTGGAATTTTTTTGAAATTTTTCAAATTTCTCTCGAATCGCCACTGAAAGGGCTTTAATATGATATATAATTCCGAATATTTCAATGATTGTTTATGGTACCTGATTTTGCGTGGAAAACAACAGAAAGAAGAAAAGTTAAAAAGTGCGAATACAAAGTTCCTCCCTATTTAATTGGTCGGACAAGTAGAGCAATTAATTGACCAATTTGGAAAAATGTTACAAAAACTAGTGCTTAAGAAGGTATTGGTGTCTCAGCGCTGTTAGAAGCAGCGAAATTGGACGAGCAACTTTATCAAAATGGAAATAAAGCTCTTTATGAGTTTGTTTTTTTTTCGAAGTTTTGCAGCTCTGTTGACAATGCGAATTTCCTAGCATTATAGCTGACCTAGGGCTTCTTGACTTGCCAGATTTTAGGTTGTTTCAGATGATTTTTACTTACTGAAATAAGTGAAAAGATGATTTGCGACTAAAAAAAAATCCGACAAAGAAAGCAAACGCCTCAAAGTATACTCCTTCCATTAAAACTAAAAAACGGCTCGTATCAAGGCAAACTCTTGA